TAAACACATTTCATTACACCAAATACACAAAATAATGTTCTTTTTAGCAGCATCATATGACCCCTTTAAGAAACTGTTGTAAAATGTATGGCCCCTTTGAAAGTATACAAATGCCCCAAGAATCTTAGCTCAGTGTAATACAACTCATCGACCCACCTGTCTTACGATGTTCTGAATGAGCTTGTCGATGGTAAACCCGATGTAAGCATGGATGGTGAACATCTCTCTCAGTGTGTCCTCGTACTGCGTGGACTCCAGGTTTCCATCCAGTAGACTGCGTACCATGTCTAAGAACGCTGGGTAATATTCCTCTAACTCCACCTCACCTGATACAACAGACATTACTTGTAAAAAATTGTGCAAGCCTGCTAATTTAGTTCTAAAACTAGACTTCTAACTATCCCAAAGCAAATCTGAGTGGAATATCCAATGCAAAACTTGTGTAGGTGGAAGTGTACATGTGCATCGTTCAGGAAATGTACTCACTAGGCTGTTTTAGACGCAGCTCCATGGCCAGGTCGTTTGCCTTTTCTCTGCGCCCCTCTCCCATGAGCAGCCGTTCCCGATTCTGCTCGGCCCTGTGCTCCAGTAACTGTCTCTCGGCCTGCCTGTAAACCTTCAGCAGCCGTGAGCACAGAGTCTGATGCAGCCGTAGGAAGAAGTACCAGTTATTATTGACGAAGAACAGGTTGTAGACTCCATCCAGCTCCTTCTGGTGCTCAGCCTCTGGGTCCCGCAGATCCACTGGCTCTCCTTCTGGATTCATGCCACGGGAGGCCATAGAGGTGTCCATGCTCTGAGGGGAAGTGCATCGTCTTCGTCTGAAATCGCCATTCAGCTGTTGCTGGCCGCCTGTTGTTGAGACTCCGCCTCCTGTGACTGCGCTGTCCTCACCTTCGGCCTCCTCGTCCGTGAACTCTTCTGTCTCGCTAAGCTCTCCACGACGGGCGAAAAAGAGGTCGGGGACAAAGTGCTGGATGATACGCTTGATGTGGTCCTTGTCGTCCTTGTGGATGGTGGGCTGCCGCTTGACATGGTAGATGATGAGGGAGGCGGCGTCCTCCAGGATCTGTTTGTCTTCGTAAGTGAAGATCATGTGGGGTTCGCTGGTCGAACCTGTGCCCGAGCTGTCACGACCTTGCTGGCCCACGCAGCCCTCTTCTGTGCTCTGCTCCTGCTGCTGTAGCGGGGAAAAAAACAAAAGCACTAATTATCTGCAAGACACATGAGACTCTTGTAGCAAGCGACCTAAGATGAGATTTCACATGCTGTACTCTGTTTTTATTGAATAGGAATGCAGAATTAAAATGGTGACGATGAAGAAAATGTGTTGAGTTCTTATTGTTCATGTCAAGTTTATTCAGACAATAAAGAAACAGATCTATGTGCTACTCCTAACTTAAACTGATGTTACATGGGACTGTACTTGTCTCAGTTCAACCCATCCAGAAGACGGTGTTATTGTAAAAACAAACAAATAATTCCAAATGCTATTTTGGCTAATAAAAAAAAAGCATATCTGGTCTATTGCGTTCCCTAAGAAACATTTCTCAAAGCTAGGGATGCTAATAGGGATCGAAAGTTAAATTTTTTTTAAAGAAAATAACGTTGTAAAATCACCCTGTGAAAAAGAGAAGGAGAAAGAAGTGAGAGAGGATTTGGGGAGTAAAAAAAGAGATATGATATGTAGTAGAGCGGAATAATTAATGAGATGTTGTTCATTAAATTGGGTGACTGAAACACCTGCTGTATTTTTTTACATTGTGGGAGAAAAATAAAAGAAAAAAGGTGCAAATCAGGGCTTAATAAAACTATTCTACTGAATAATAAAATGGCAACTTAAATGCTGTTATAGATGCAATGATTTAGTCTTTTGATTTTTTTCAAATCAAATGTCACCGTGACTGAATTAATGAGTTGAATGTTCACTGAACTCACATTTGTCACTCGTCCACAATTTTAGTCCTTTATTAATCTCAATTGTGACTACATTAAGTCAAGTCATTTAGATAAACTCAAATGACAGAGCTAAATTATTACTCCTACTGTCAAAACAATGTAGTGTATGAAATTACAACTCAAAATGGCTCAAAATAAGGGACAGATTAATAGTTATGAAACCAGCTCTTTTCAGGATCCAGAGAATGCGTTGTTAGGCCATCAGAAACAGAAGAACAGCTAAACTCACCTCGTCATAGATGCTCTCTATTTCATTGAGAAGACTCTTGGAACGAAGAGCCTTCATGTCGTTCTGTTTGAAGTTGACACCCTGGTGGTCCAGTGATTTCAGATACGCCTTCTCATATTGCTCTCTCCAGATTTTGTTGAAGCCCTGCTGGGCCTCCCTCCACTCCTCCTCTTTAGCTTTCAATCTATGGCAAGAAAATCATCCATTTATTCTTCAATCAAAATGTCATTTCTGCTAGAATGAAGAACTCTTAAAACTTTATAAACACAAATGACTGCATTTTTGATTAACTATACTGGTTTGATTAACTCTGTATACTGACTTGTAAATCTCAATGATTTTTTCCGCTGAAAGCTAAGAGCAGCAAATGCAAAATAAATAGGCTGCTGACACCTGAACTATTCTATTATTTTTGCTGTCAAATGAAACTGTAGAGATACCCCGATTCTCATTTAGGTGAGAGGAAAGTCAAATATGACTTTTTTAAACCTTTTGAGTACGACAGGAACTGCAGTGGCTGGACTCCTCTTCAACCCCTCTATGATCTCTGGAGCCTTGTCGCCGTAGATACGATAGATCGCTCGACGCTGGATGACCTCAGAAGTTCCACCCAGACAGTCATCCAATCGGAAGCGCTCTTGATCCTCTGGCGAAAGGCGGGACAATTTCTTCTGCACACTTTCCAAAACTCTTATCGTTGCCAAATTAGTCTCAAGCACAACATCCAGCTACAAAGAAAAAAAAAAATCAATATCAATCTCAACTGAGTTTCACTGGAAACCTAAATCTCCCAATATTTTTCAAAGAGATCATCTTACCTCAAACCTCTCATCCTCACAGCGATGAAGCTGCTCTTCATATGGTGTTTTCTTGGAACTCACAAAAGTGGAATCTTCTGACCAGGAAGGGAATGAGACCCAGGTATCATTCAGCACCTAAAACAAAACAATGAGCTTAAACCACTTGTACCATCAGCTTTCTGACTCCATGACTTAAGCCTTAGCAATATCAGGCTGAACTTTAGATGTCTTGTACACCAGCCACTTCTAATTTGGCACAAATATCTAGCTTATTTTCTACATATAAAATTACTGTTTACAAACAAGCGTTTGGCGACGACACCTCCGGGTTCTCCAGGCACCCTGGAAAAAGAGCTATTTGAGATAAGTGCTTCCATTCAAATTGAGCTGAAAAAAAAAAGAGCAGTGTGGGGGCTGAAACACCCCAATTTCCAAATGATTCATGGAGATTTGGGCTTCTGCTGATTTGTACCATTATCCCAGATTTGCATAATTTCTCTTATATTTTTATCATACTTCTGAGGTGAAATAATATGTATAATATATACATATAATATCTATAGATGCTAACAATTATATATGACATTAATAATTATATTAATAATAGTACAAACATTCTATTTCTTCTATAACATCACAATTTTATCTGTATCTGATGAAAATGCAGTACCTCTTTGCATATAGCAGTTCGGCCACTGCATTTGGGCTGCTGGTAGGTCTTGGGCAGTGCTCTGTAGCTGGAACCCAGGCGTTTACAGGAGGCGTAATCCACTTCTCTGCCTCCACCTTCCATGTAGCGCTCAGAGAAGCCCGTGATGGCATGAGACAGCTCTTTATCACCCAAAAATGACTTAAACTGGGTGTACAGTTCTGGAAACTTCCTACAGAATGAGGCACCAGTGGCATATGACTCATGACCGACATGAAAGGACTGCGAAATGCACCATATGAAAACAAACAGGATTAAATAAACATGCCCTATTTAAATCTTTCTTACCCCAAGAATGGAGTCACAAGTTGCAGGAGTTCGGCCCCTGAAACCACCTCCTGATTGAACAGAGCTATGCAGCGTAAGAAATTCTCGTACACCTCCTGACTCCTGAGCAGACAGCGAACCTAAAAAAAATAAATGAAATTGTTCAATGGCTGAGACTACATAATAAATCCTATGGCAATGGCTGACTTACTAGCACTTGCATTTCAAAGCAATTTTGTCAATGAAACGTACCTTGTCAAAGAATGTGAATTCCCGCAAAACTCCATGCTTTCCCACAGAGGCAAAAGATGGGTCCTTGGAATAGGAATACTTCATTTTTTTCTATGTGGATAAAAAAAAGATAAATTGTTTAAGCACAAGTAACCTGCATATACTGGGAGATATTTCAACTTTCCAGGTCTTTAGGATACAGAGGCAATGAAGCATATGGGACTTGCTTTGGCACAAGTGAACTCTGACCTTCAGAAGTGGGGTCATGTGAGGCAATAACATGGGTCTAGGCCTCTTCTTGTTCTGTTTATTCATTTCCTCGTCCTCTGCTTTCTTCAGATTGTCTTTGCCAGGCAAAGAGCCTCCAGTAAACTGGAATCAAAGACAAAGTACATATTTGTACATACATTTATATATATATATTAAAATTCACTCTACTTTTCAAAGGTTTGGGGTCAGCAAGTTTTTTTAATGATTCTCAAATTAAGTTTCACCAAGGCTTCATTTGTTTGATCCAAATAATAATAATAATAATAATATTGTAAATTATTATTACAATTTAAAACAACTGTTTCCTATTTTAATATATTTTAAAATGTAATTTATTCCTGTGTTGGCAAAACTTAAATTTTTAGCAGCCATTACTCCAGTCTTCAGTGTCAGATGATCCTTCAGAAATCATTCTGATATGCTGATTTGGTGCTCAAGAAACATTCATTTCTTCTTATTATCAATGTTGAAAACAGTTGTGCTGCCTAATATTTATTTTGGGAAGACTTGACATTTTTTTTTATTTGTTTTACTGTCACTTTTGATATGCTACATCCTTGCTGAATAAAAGCTCATTTTTAAAAAACAAAACAAAACATAAACAAACAAGCAAAACTTACTGACCCCAAACATTCGAACGGTAGTGTAAATATTTAAGAGAAAATAATTTAATTGCAAATTGATACAAGCGCAAAGCAACAACAAATTTTTAAAAAGTAGTCAAAGGTCATTTTCTAACCAGAGATCTCTTTGCGTCAGGCAAAAACTGGCCAAACTCTGCAAGCAGATCCTCTTGGCCTTTGAAAAGGCTTGCCACTTTAGAGAAAACCTCATCTTCGGTCATTCCTCCAGTGCTACGCCCTCTGCTCTCCTTCACCTCCAGCTGCTCCTTCTGCAGATGGACACAGGACGCACAAATCAATGAACATCGATAAGTTCACAGGATGGGTACGAAAACAGTCAGAGAGTCTATTTCCTTTAGTGCCAGTAGGTAGTAGCCTAGTCTCAGCCTCAGGCAGAACACCCACAGATGGCACACAGTCCGTTCATTGACAGTCTGATACGTACTGCACGGAAAAAGGCAGCCGCCTGCTATAAATCACAAGCTCCAATCTGATTGGCTTGCTGAAACGCAAGATATCCACAAGAAGAAAAGTATATTCCTACATAGCTTTGTTTTCTTATTAAATGTCTAGGTAGGGTGAAGTCTAGAGGAAAAACGAAATAAAAATGCGGTTTCTCTATTGCTCTCACCTGGTATGTATGTAGAATTTCCAGAAAGGCCCGGTAGGTTTCTGGGTTGTCCAAAAATCGGTTTTTGATCTTATTGACGTAACTGATGGCGCTGTCAAACTCCACAGGGCTGGGCTCTGAGGTGGGAGGGGATATCGAAGTGGTGGCCGGCTGTGATTGGCTCTCTCGGCTGGGCAGAGGAAGTGACAACCTGCTTGATTGTTCAGGAGGTCCAGATGATGAAGCGACACTCTCCGGAGAGGTCACAGCTTCATTTGGAGCCGGCCCTGCTTCAGCCACTGCTGACGAAGAAGCACTAACCACAGAGCTGCCCGTGCTCCTTCCTGGTCCTGGAGAGACCTGAGGGAAAATATACCAAAGAATAGCCTTACTTTAATATACAAAGAAAGCCAACATCCCTACATATGTTCAGTTCAACAGGAGAACAGGAATGCATAACGGAGATGCAACAATATTTTATAACAAAATTAATTTATTATTGTGGTTTTGATGACATTTACACTATTGCTCAAAACTAAGGTCTGTATTTTTTTTTTTATTCATTTCTTTTTAAGATTTTTAATGGTTAACAAGGCTGCATTTATTAGATCAAAAATACAGTAATATTCTGAAATAATGTTACAATTTAAAATAACTTTTCTATTTGAATATATTTCAAAATGAAATGTATTCCTGTGATGGCAAAACTGAATTTTCAGCAGCCATTACTCCAGTTTTCAGTATCATATGTTTTTTCAGAAACTCACTGTAAAACTCTGTGTAAAGTTCCTTTGAATGAAAATATCCAGAATAGTTGTACATGAATGTAATGAATTTATTATTATTATTGTGTTATTACAACTATAAATGTTGACTATGACAATCAAAATTACATGCAATAATAAAGCTCTTACACATTTACATTAAATAACTGTCCATTTATTCTAAAACACAAAGCTATTGTCATTGGACTACTCCCTGACAGTATATGTGGCATGACGTCACCAAAGTGTGAACTCGAAGGAAGCCAGCAAGGGGCCCATTTGGGACAGGGCCAAAGTCAACATGAAATCAATATTAACCCTATTTACTCTTAATACACATTCCTGTCTTATTGTGCACGATTCATCACATTATTCCAAATAAAAAAAATATTTGTCTTTGCAATCACTCATTAAAATTAAATTACTTGCTCCGCCTCTTCTTTTGTCTTCTGCCAGAAAGTCCATGTGGACTAATGGAAATGCAAAAAAAAAAAAAAATGCCAAACAGCTATTTAGGCATTGTTTTAGCAAACTTGCATTCTAGTACCCAACACTTGCTTCACACAATCTATTCAATTCCTGTTAGCTAAAAATAAAGATCTACCCTAAATTGTTTTTCTCTAAATACCTTGCTTCATTCAGAAAGGTCACTCAAGTAAAATTAGTTGTGAATATGGTTCAGTGATGACCTTTTCATGGTTGACGAACTGAAACAGTGAAAATGAAGAACAAAACACAGACACCAGTGCAAACAAGTAGTAAATTGAAGCACCAAAAGTCCCACCTGTGAGGACAGTGGGGACTGTAGAAATGCCATTCCATTCTTGGGAATTTCGATCCGATAGCCAGGCGGTAGAAAGGCATTAAACCCCAGGACAAGGTCAGGATGCCCATGGAAGAGCTGAGAAACTCTGTTGATAACTCCTGGTGTGTCAATGCTGTGGATATCGGAAATACAATCACACAATGCTTTTTGTGCATCAGCACACATTTAAAGTGAACAGACACCTACATACCTTTGAGACTTAAACTCTTTCATGATATCCAGAAACTTATTGTATATTCCCGGATCATTTCCGAACCGTATTTTGACTTGGTCCAAGTAAGATAAGGCATCCTCCACCTGCAACAGGAATAAATATTATTAACCTAAATTATGTTTACAAACAATATAAACCATAATAAGCATGTATACAGTGACAGAATGCTTACCGAAAAGTACTGTGGTGGTACCATGGTACAAGGTATGGGACGGAAATAACATGTATTTACATCAGTTAAAAAAAGGTACATTTTGACAAGTACAATGGTAAAACCATAGTATTCATGGAAGCACTATGGGGCATAACGCAAAGATACGAGGGTACTATTAGCATATGATACAAAAAACTACACCATAGTACTGCCACAGTACTTTTTTCTAAGGTACTTTGAAGAACGCCATGGTACATATCCAAAATACCATGGTGGTATTATGATTTTTTATTTTTTTGGCTCGTGAAAGAACAGATGTGTGGGACATCAAGTCCATTTCTATTGAATGAGGAGCCACATCACATTGAATGACTTCGCATTTGCTTCTACTATTAAAGTAATACATTGTCTACATTCTTTGAATTATGCAAGAGAAACAAGAAAGCACTGTGAAATCTAAACTACACATATACAAAACGAAAGTTATTCGATTTTTCCTCTGTTCACAAGAACAAAAACCCAACGAGAAAAGAACGCACGCATAAAATAAATATTCAAGATCAAAAGAACAGTTGCAATGTCCTATCCAACCACTGCGATGAAGAAAACTGACCAAATCAAGCGGCTTAGGAGAAAAACAGCCGGTTTATATTCTCTTTGTGGTTTTATTAATATTCAGTGAGGGAAATAAAGGCTCACTGACTCGTTTAGCTTTGCTGCGTTAGCACTAGTGCTAGTCACAACACACAAGAACCCCGCTACGATTTCACAACAAAAACAAACAAAACACGATTCAAACTGCTTTTTAACAGAGAAACGCTTCAGCTATGCTTAACATACACTTTCAAAGGTCGGGCTAAAACGAAAAGGGACACATTTAAGACAAAAGCAGCTGTTAGCTGAGCAAAACCCCCTTTATTTCTCTTATCAGTCAGTCATATCAAATAAACCGGTTTAATCTTAAACAAACGGAGTGTAAAGTGTGATTTTTGGCGGAGCCACAATAAATATCCACCGGTTTTGGTCTTAACAAAGAACAGAGGTGAAAACCCGACCGCGTAAGGGGGAAACATTCGACTTTAATTCAGCAGATACACTTTCACCATGTTGACTGGTAAACTTGCATTGCTTTGAACCGGAATCGGTGAGTTAAGCGATAATAAATCGACTTTTGCAGCTTGAAATGGTGTAAATAAGTGCGTACGATTTTCAAATCCATTTAACTTACACACACTCAAGTGTGAATGCTTTGATATATGCCCCATATGCATATGAACAGCACAGCACTTCCTAATACACAATGCGTTGTAAGAGAGAAGAAACACATGCACTTGCTGCAATGCTTCTTACCTTTAGTTTTTGAAAGTGCTGCTGCTGGACTTGCTTCTGAACCACATAGGCCTTGTCTTGGATCTGGTTGATTTGCTTCGCAGTGCTGCTGCGAGCCTGAATTTTCGCCATGGTGCGTTTCCTTCCCCACCAACAGCCACCAAAGCCACGATGATTTACCGTCCCTCCGTGTTTGCAGTTTGTTCTGGCGTGCAAAATTCAGTTCGTATCGGGGGGCCACCCAGCTCTCTTCCCCCCACAAGTCCAGTCTACTTTACGGACGGCCACCCAGTTACTCCAGCATAGACTTCCAGCTCAAGCCAAGTGTGTTCGGACTTCTCAATCCCTACTAAAACTACACCATAAAGCGTACGGATCAATAGCGAGCCCCCATCGATAACCACGAAGAGAACCAGAAACAATGTACGTATTTTTTTTTTCCAATGGTCGTATTTAAACGAATGGTGTATGTCTCTTTAAATTCGGCGGCAGCTGTGCGCTCGATCCTAGCGTCCGGAAACGGAGGGAGTTGTGGAGAATTGAAAAGCGCATGCGCACAAACCGAAAGAGGGCGGAGTGTACGGAATCTCAGCGGCCGCAGGCATGAATGGGATTCTGCATACGCTTTTGTTCACTGGAAGAATGTTACAGAAAGTTGTTTCGCATTGATTTAAAACGTTTTATGGCTCATTGATTGCTTTGACCAGTAATTCTGATAAAACTATAATGTAATGTGATAAATATTTGACAACTGTAAAGCTGGAAATGGGAAAACTATCTTTGTTTAAAAAGAAAAACAAACCTTTTAGTTATTTATTATTATATTTTATTGTATAAAGTATACATCATCTACGGTATTATTCATTTGTATCTGAGGTTTGTTTATGGGGTATTAGTTTATTGTAGAAGGTAAAAGTTCACCAGTCCAATGAGAAATTACATTACAAATATCATGTTTACTCTTGCTTTAGTAATACATTTTGGTGTCATTTTGAAAAAAGAATGGTCACAACTGAATATTCAGCAAGTGAATGTATCAGTTACTTTAGTCAGTCTCTTGTTTTTGAATAAATAAAAAGGCTGACACAAAATGAAGGTTTTAAAAACAAGCGTGGTTTATAAAACCCAAATATGACAGGATCACCAAAGCGTATACAGAAACACAAATGAGATCATCAGTGGAACCATCATAGGAATACACTCAACATTTACAAACTACTGTCAAAGGGGGAACTCGGAGACATTTTCTCTCTTTTTATATCTCTAGTTAATCACAGAACCACAAGTTTTTTCTATTTTTCTTTACGTCTTTACTTACTCAAAAGTACAACCATCTATCAACTACAAACAATGTCACAGTCAAGTATTTAAAAAGGGATACAACATCAAGATAGGCGATAGAAAAGATGCAAAGATATCAAGCACTTAACATCATGGGTTTAGCAAGCAATCAAGTCGACAGTTTTCCCCGCCATGAAGAAATGATGTCAGGGCTTGTGTATTATTCCAGTTCTGTATTTGAAAAAGTAAAAAAATAAAAAATAAATAAATAAAAAATGTACACAATAAAAACCCTACATTTTGAGGGTTCATCTCATAACAGAACCCCTATTTAGGGTGTTGATGAGAATATTAACATGTCCCCCTCGTCTCCAAATCCTCCCCAACCAGATCAGTTCACAATATCGACCCAAAACCACCGTCACCCAACAAGTCCTGTCAAATGGGCACAAACCCTGGGGATGAAAGTGTTATGAGCAGAAATATATACCTACTGTAAATAAAACCGATCACATTCCATATTCACGAAAGCGTCTTAAGTTACATTATTTCCACAGAATTCACATATGTAAGACTGTGGATTGTAACTAATCAAACATGCCCTTCATCTACCATAATACTGCTCATTTAAAAGCAAAAGTCTCCAACTTGTACATAAATAATTAGTACAATAAATGAACCATTCTTTAACATATTTAAAATGTACAAAATTAAACTATTTACAGTGCAAAACAAAAGCAGCATGCAGGCAAGACAATTGGCAATGCATTACAAAAAGCACTGGATGGGGCAAATTTGTGCTCAGCATCCATATACGGTGATATTGGTTCAGGAAGTGTTTAATTTTTTAATTAACTACATTTGTTGTGTGCCACTTGATAGTCTACTCGATGAAGTATTCAGTCAGCTCTGAGAGTCAAGAACTAAAGACAGCAAAGTAAGACACTGTGTGTCAAAAGATCATTTTGAGAAGATTGACATTTCATTAATATTAAAGGACAAAAGGATCGTACATTAACATAGTAACACCACATTTTCGATGAGGATAGCACTCTTTTGCAACCACAATTCACATGTAGCTTTCCCTTTCTTCTGTGTTAGATTTGTAATCCAAAATACAAACATTTACATTTTTGCATCAAATGTGTTTAAGCAAAAAATAAACCTAAAGTCAACTAAAATGTTACTCACAAACACAACACCTGCTATCTGTACATCGTTTTTTCATTAGCATTAACACTTTTCGTTTAAAGAGTAAATAAGAAGAGAGATTGTGAAGACAGACCCATCTTTTCATTTGATTTTAGTTACAGCTGAAAGATTGTGCTTGCAAAAATACAAGGATGCATGCTGCTGTAAGAGTATCGAAATAAACTAAAAGCTGAAAAAATAAGCAAAATAAAAATATCAGCTAAAACAGCCCTGGTGTATTCTTTTTTTGATGACAACAATGGATATTAATTATAATAAAATCATTGTAAGTTAAAATGACAGTCTTCACTCTCTGCTATAGAAGCATTATGATTAAGAGGTGAAAAACAGATGCTTTCCTCCTAAATATGCTGTTTGAAATTCAGAGACTATGTATGAAAATGTATGAAAGACAAGTAGTTATAGCTGTCTCGCAAAAATGTACATTATAAATCATCACATTTTTTTTCATTAACTTAAAACTGATTATAAATATATTGCAACACTCATCAAGCATACAAATAATCAAACTGTGACCATGTTGGTACGGAAAAAGCTTACATAAAAGATGTCTCCTCACCACACTGGAACTACTTTTTGATGCACAACATCTCATATGGTTTACCACAATACAAAACTGATATCACAACCATAAGAATTATAATCGACTGGCAGTGTTCGCATTTCGTCTTTGGCTAGCAGTGGTTATGGCAATGCTTAATAAGTGATACAAAAAGCCATGTAGGAAACACATGAGTTCAATAAAAATGTGTCCACTTCCATTCAGTTTGCAGTTGGGTGACAATTATTCCTGAATCTTTTGAGTTTAGTGCATCATTACAATTGAAATAGTTCACAGAATCATCTGATCTTTTTCAGAGGACAGAATTTGTTTTTTTACCCAAATGTTATTTCAAATATTAACCAGCAATGTCAGATTTACTTACAGTAGTTTCACTGGTCAAAGTATCAATGAAAACAATAATTCTATACATCCTCAGAGGACAGCAGAACATAAACCTTTCATTTAGCATCAGCTATAGCTCCCCAAAAGAAAACACACACACACACACACACACACACACACACACACACACACACACACACACACACACA